ATGTTCCTTGAGGAGATTTTGGAACTTTTTGGCGTTCCGCCATATTATTGATGTTAATGTCTCAAGTAGTGTTAGCTTGTGATGATATTGTTGGATATATGCTTGATGGTTTATAATGCACGCGTATGCTAAATTGTTTTATAGATTATTCCCCATTCATCTTTTTTCTTCCTTGATGCTTTGCCTTGTTTACCATAAGTTCCTGATAATGCAAATTGATTAAATTTATATACATGCGAATGGTAGATTTTGAAAACAGTTGATAGGATCCGTAGTTAAAATTTGATAAAAGTTGTGAGGTCCCATAAAATATGTGGTTAAAATTAATTATTAGCTTTAACTTCTAACGGGACATATAATTGGATGATGTTGCTTATAGATTATTTGTGTCTTATTTGTAATTTGGATTTGATTTGAGCAACTTTAATATCTCAAATTATTATTTATGCAACTTCTTGATGCAGGAGGGTTTGAGCCAGATGTTGAGTTGTCGGATAAAACGTTAATGACTCTAAGGTATCAAGAGTTGGTAGATCGGCGCAAGGATGACAAGTGATCGCGTAACCACTTTGATAATTGAGTCGTGTTTAGATAATTTGATCATAATTTTGGCTATGCCTATCAGAATCGTGATTATGACCACAATTCGAAAAGCTTGTTTCGGCGCGCACGTCGTGGCCACCCAGCTTTGCTCGGAGTGTGCTATTTTTAATCTCAAATTCCACTGTTTTCCCTTTCGAATTACTATTTTTAGTTAAATTTTACTATTTTTGGTAATATTTCGATTGCATGCTAGGAGATAATTTTTAACCCGATTTGGGCTAGATTTTTCGCAGATTACTTATTTTATTCCATATTTTCGTTTAGCGTGATTTTTGGAATTTTTCCATTTTTGGTAAAATTCGGACTTCGGCTATAAAGTCCGGCTTGTGGACTTATTTTCATCATTGCGTGATATAATAAAATTCTCTAAACTTCAGAGACGTTTTCTCTGTGTTTTTTTGGCGTTCGAATTTTTGCTATAAAGTCCGACCTGTGGACTTATTTTGATTATTGTGTGATATAATCAAATTCTCTAAACTTCAGAGACGTTTTTTCTGTGTTTTTCGACGTTAATCTTGTATTCTCCCTTGTGAATTTGTTGGTAGAGTTAGCATGCAGAATAATCACTATTTTGCCCGGCATCTCTTCTTAGCCTGAAATTCATGGTTTGCTTTAGGTAATGAGCAAGTAGAAACTAGTATAATCATCTTTGTAGATCTTCGGGTATAAGGAAAATAATGGACTGTTAATAAATGGGTGTGTTCTACCTTCCAAGCTTAACCAGTTTCCAAAATTTCCCATGTTTGTGCCTTTATCTAATAGAGATCAAAGGAGAATTTGGATTAGATCAACCATTGATACCAAGCACCAAAATAAATGCTTCTAACTATTGTATTTTTTGTTCAATATGGGAATCATTCAGTTGCAATTCTTTTGCCTTGTGGTGCCTCTTAAGCTTTGAGTGCCATTTGTCCTCACTTGTTATACAACTTTGTCGCTCGTTCTAAGCTATTTCTAATTGTTCTCAATCGTTTGAAGTAGTTGTCTTCTAGCCTAAAATTCGAATTTTTGCTATAAAGTTCGGCCTGTGGACTTATTTTGATTATTGCGTGATATAATCAAATTCTCTAAACTTCAGAGACGTTTTTTCTGTATTTTTCGACGTTAATCTTGTGTTCTCCCTTGTGAATTTGCTGGTAGAACTAGCCTGCAAAATAATCACTATTTTGCCCGACGTCTCTTCTCAGCCTGAAATTCATGGTTTGCTTTAGGTAATGAGCAAGTAGAAACTAGCATAATCATCACTTTGTGGATCTTCTGGTATTGTTGAAGGGTATAAAGAAAATAATGGACTGTTAATAAATGGGTGCGTTCTACCTTCCTAGCTTAACCAGTTTCCAAAATATCCCATGTTTGTGCCTCTATCTATTAGAGATGAAAGAAGAATTTGGATTAGATCAACCATTGATACCAAGCACCAAAATAAATGCTTCTAACTATTGTATTTTTTGTTCAATATGGGAATCATTCAATTGCAATTCTTTTGCTTTGTGGTGCCTCTTAAGATTTGAGTGCCATTTGTCCTCACTTGTTAAACAACTTTCTCGCTCGTTCTAAGCTATTTCTAATTGTTCTCAACCGTTTGAAGTAGTTGTCTTCTAGCCTCAACTTTGTCGCTCGTTCTAAGCTATTTCTAATTGTTCTTATTCGGTTGAAGTAGTTGTCTTCTAGCCTACAATGTTTTAAACGTTTTTTAGTTAAGTTTAAACAAAACTCATGTTCTAAAAACCAGAAAAAGAAATGAATTAATGCCGAAGAAAAAATTAAGCGAGGGTAGTTCCCTAAAGACAAGCTATCCACATATTCAATGTTTCCAAGGTTCAGTAACATGTTAGGTTTACCATACTATCTTAATATATACAAAGAGGGTTTCTTTGGGAGGTGTGCCCTATCTACACGTGCGAGTAGGATTAGAAATTTCAATAACCCCACCTGATTTTAAATTAAATGGCCGTGCGATTTTGGACTTTTGATCCAACCGTGTGCAAGCATGCTGTCAGTCAGTCGTGTTTAATTCTATTTTTTATTTATTTACTTTTTTTAATTTCAATTTTATTGAAGAAATAAGTAGTGGTTTGTTGTGGTTTCCATCAATACATAATGCCTTGTCTCAAACATGCTCAAGCATAGAAATGGCCTCAAACACCATGTTGTGTCTACATTTCTTGAATGATTTTTTTAAAAACAAATATTTCCTAATTAGAAAATATTCTAAATATTTCTCAACCAACCAATTGTCAAGCTGAAAAGGCAGCCACATCAATATTTGCTTGTATGGAGTTGTCCACTTGATACTATTGGATTGGAAATGAGCTAATTAATAGCCAACACATGCCTTGCACACCTCATTTAGCAACTAAGCCAATATTTTAGTGGACCAGTGAATCAAGTACCCAAGGAACTCTCATTGACCTACTATTATTCCCAATGTACAAATGGATTATATTGTAAAAACATGAGTACACAATGTATAAGAATACGATTCAACTAGTTTCGCGATGCATCAAACTTTGAACCGTTTTATCGAAAAGATAAATATGCCTATGTATAAGAATACGATTTGACTAGTTTCATGATGCGTCAAGCTTTAAACCACTCTATCAAAAAGATAAATATATATATTGAATCAAAGGTAATTATATTAACATCGCAATTTTTATTTCTTGCACCACATTTTAATTACACTTGAAGTTCTCAATCTTTACTCGTTATAGCATTTATGTCCCTAACGATTTTTTATGGCATTCTTATATTCAAACTTTTTGTTAGTTAACACATTTTATATTTGATAACAGTTTATATTCAAAAAATTTGTTGAAATGGCGTATAACAACTTGTTTTTTCATCATATTTAAAAAAAAGAGTATGAATTATTTTTTCCCTCATTTCGAAGAATGGAAACAAAATATATTAATACAAATAATCGTCAAGGACGAGATGTTCTAATTAATGGAAGATTGAAGATAAAAATTCTACGAAAAAAAATTAAGGAAATAATTTCTACAATAAACAAAGATTGAAGAGTTTAATTTAGTGTAACAAATAGAAATTTTGGTGGAATAACCACCCTTGAATCAATATTCTTGAAAGACTCAATACGTGCAAAATTGCTGTAAATTATCACAATGATCAATAGTCCCTTACCATTTGTGCTTATCTCAATCAACCTCCCAATATCTTTTGAATTTTGGACACCTCCGCAAGTGCCCACACGCTTGGCTTAACAATAATCACATAAACGTGCAAATAACAAACACTTATGTGTTAAGTCATCATAAGTAACTTAAATCACCCAACCCCACACTCCCTCTTTTGTGTGTGTGCGTGTTTGGTGAAAGTAAGAATCAATTCTATTACAATACTTGGCATTTATTGATGACTAGTGGAACCCTAATAGATTCTAGAGTGAAAATATCTATGCTAAATTTAATACCTGGCATTTATTGACGACCAGTGGAACCGTAAGGGGCTGTTCTCTTTGTATTTCAATTTTGTGATTTGAGTTTTGAATTCATTTTGAATTTTGTGTTTTGAGTGTCCATTTTGAGATTGTTGAAAATTAATTAATTTTTTTTTTTGCATTTTGAAAAATTGTTTTGAAAACACCAAAAACGCATTTTAAAAATTTTGACTTGATTATAACTGAAAACACCCAAAACGGGTTTTCTTTGTAAATTTTTAACTTGTTTTAAAAAACGCATTTTCACTGTATTTGAAAGTCGAAAACAGAAAACAGCTTGAAAATGGTAAAGAAAACAGACCCAATAGATTTTTGAGTGAAAATATCTATGCTAAATTTAATACCTTGTAAATACGATATGAAAGTATAAATGACATGTTTAGTATGGTATACGTTACTGAATTGAAAAACTAACATACTTGTTGGTGACAAAAACCTTCTTTTAACATTCATTAATATTTGTCAACTAATGAACCAGAGATTGAAGGAATTAGGAAGTCTTTTTTTAGCTTTATTTATCATTAAAAACAGATCAATATCCTACCAACATAATCCATGAAATTAGTTGTGGTGCTGGTTATGCCTAACCTTACCAAATAGCAATGCCAACCACCCCCCCNTCCCCCAACCCCCCCCCCCCCCCCCTCCCCAGGAGGGAGAAAGGTGGCGTGTGTGTGTGTGGAAGGGGGGAGGGTAGGGGTGTGTTGTGAGTGGGTAGGAAAATGACAAAGATGCCTTACTCACTTTTCTTGAAGGAAAGGCAACCATGAACACTAACCACTTGCTCACTCAAAGAATTGAATTTCAACGTAACATAAAAACCAATAAAGCGTTGAGAGATCAATTAATGAAATAATAACACTTGCTAATAAGGAAAAAAAAAATTGTGAGTGAATTTTTCACATTGATCAACAATTATCAACCCATTCTTCTTCTTCTAGTAGTGGCAATCCACCAAGGCCACGGCAGAGAAGACTAGACCTTGATGGTTGGAAGAAAATCGAAACTTTGTCTCCGGCCCCGACCCTGACTCCGACCCTGGCCCGTGATCGTCTTCTGCCGGTGCCGGCAGGTTAAGATCCAATTCAAGAATATTTTTAGGCTTCTCAGCATCACGGGATGATGATTCATTAACTCTTGTACTATTAGGATTCCTATGTCTTCTCATATGTCCTCCCAATGCTTGTCCTGACGAAAACTCCGAACCACATATTGAACACTCATGAATTTTAGGCTTATCATGAATATAACCATGGAAACTTTTGTGGGATTGTCCTTCTTCTTCTTCTACTTTGTGAACGCCGGACTGGGCATTGACCGGAGTTTCTTTTCTATCATTTTCCGGTTGTTTGGGCTTCTTGTGGCTTGCTCTATGGCCTCCTAATGCTTGAAATGATGGAAAACTTCTATTGCAAGTTTTACATTCATAAGTATGTATGCTATCTTTCGTCGTTGTAGCGTTTTTTGGTAGTGAAACAACACTTTGTGCCAAAAGAATTAGACAATTGGCCATATCTTCGTCTTCCTCAATGTTTGTAGAAATTGAGGTTGTGGGAGATGTAACCAATGAATAGAAACCTCCTCCTCCATCTCCGCAGGTGGGAGCGGTGGCACCGCTTGATGACAAGGTGGAGGACGATGGCCTTTGCCGCTTGGTACGTTTCCCTTTAACAATTGAGTGATCATTGGACCCCAAAAACTCTTCCAAGATTTCCATATTGGATCCAAAAACTGCCAAAACTTAAGGGCTTAGAAAGAACTAGAGTGAGAGAAAGCAGAGTAGTGAGTAGTACTGTAAGAAAGTGAAGAAGAGTGATGAGAGAAACTGTGATAGGATTGTGAGTGTTGCTTTATACATATATACACATATATATTGTGAACCTTAAGTAAGTATTTGGAGTCAAAAGCCACCCTTGTGAACAGTTACCATGAACTAAGCCATTAGGATGTTTCGTGCATTAAAGACGTAATTAAGAAAGAAAGACTGTAATAAAAGTTGTTAACGTTAAGACGGGAGATTCATTTTAAAGAGTCAACCTAGTATTTTTATACTTAATTGATATGAGATTTTACTTTATTTCGGTTGTTAAAATTAGAAGTGCTTGTCTGGGACTCGATCGCGTACCAAATGAGATCTCTTCAGTAGGGTTTTTCATTTTTGTCAAGTATTAACTTAATAATCACATCTGCAATTCAATATACTAACATGCTATGATCGTATTGATGTTTCGAAAAATTTTTAGGTTATATACATACATTTTCGATCACGGTGATAAATTATTTGTACAAGTACGAGATCTTAAAATTTGCGAGTTCGATATTTCTAATTTTTATTTTTATTTTTGGTGATTTGAAGTATGTTTTCACTTTTCACAAACTATCTTTGACACATTTTGCCTGAATGAACAGAAGCATTTAAGCAAAGAGCGTTGCACGTTATGACTATGTTCCACCACATTTACTCTCTCTCTCTCTCTCTCTCTTCTTCTAACTTAAAAAGAAAAAGTATACTGTATACTATTTTTAGAGAGAGAAAGTGGAAGAGAGAGTAAACAAGAATCAGTTGGCTTTGAAGCAACAATCTTGCTATATGTACCATTTGGTTTACTCGATCTCATCTCCTCCCTCATATGGGAGTCGGTCCCACGCATTTATTGAATGTGGGATCCGACCCCATGTGAGGGAGGAGATGAGATCGGATAAATCAAAGTGTACCTCAAATGGTACAAATAACATAATTCTTCAAGCAAATTCATAACCTCTTTTCATCCACTATTCTATTAAATGACAAATCTTCAATGTACATTTATTCATGAAATATGTACTTGAAAATAAATTTGAAGAAAAAATGAAGTTTAAGAAATGGAATCGAATACGAACTTAATGACATGCTTAATATGTATGACTAAGTGATATGAGACGCTAACAATACCATTCAATTCGTCTCGTTATATCGAATGGAAGGGAGAATAAAACTTGGGTATGGACACTCAAGTGGGCATGAGATAATGGGAGAGTATGTGCACGCTTTTCTACTTGTCATCACGGCCTATTATTTGATGCGTGATGTCACGCTTTTGTAGTGGCGCGTTGGCATAAGTCATTTCAATGCTAGTTTACAATTTCTATCCTTCGACCGACTTGTACCGCCTTTCGGTTTCTTGGATGGCAATGGAGGTACAACAGGTCAAAGGTAAAATAGAGTATTAATGGTAGAAAGAAATGAAAATAACCCTCCATTTATTTCAAAATACCCTTCTCGCGTAGCCTGTTTGTTGGCAAATTTTTTTTTTTTTTTTGGAAATAAATTATTTTGAATAGTGAATTTTTGAAAAATATGTGATTAAAAAAAAAATTAAATTAAATTAAATTTACGTGTAAAATATTTTATTATATAAATTTGTGGTTGAAAATGAGTACGTAAAAAAAAATTAGTGTTAAAAGAATGGAACATGGACTTAAAAGTATACGAACTTGTATAGTGATCGACTTCCCAACTCGACTATGTTATGTGGCTAATACAATTGCTCAGTTCACCAAATCTAAAGACCACGTACAATTAGTTTTGTCAACGACACGAGCCGATCTATGAGCGGAACTTCAAAGCCCGAGTAAAACATGTTCGAGTTTTTTTGGACCCGACCCGAACCGAGCAAAGGCTTGCCCAAAAAAATGAGGTTCGGCCCGAGCTATCGGCTCGAGCCTTAAGGTGCTTTGTTAATACTGCGTACAAATTATTGTATTGAAAACGTGAGATTTGACAAAATCTTACATTTTACAATGACGACGGTTCATATTAATCTTTCTACCTTTTTCTTTAAACTATTTTATTATTTAATCACGTCATATTATATTATTGAACTATTTCTCTTATGAAATAGTGTCCCAAAGTAAGTGATGATTGCTTAAGAATGCAGAATTAGTTTAGTACACTACTATTATTTATGCATAATGGAGCAAGAAACTTACCCTAGTTGTTCAACCAAAAGGGGAATTTAGAGAGGTTTGCAAGTGAAGAATAATAAGCTATTTGTTTAGTCAATTTGTATCATTGAAAAAAAAACATTTTTTTATTATAATCAAGGAAGTATAATTGATCTTTCGATCAACAAGTAATAATAATACATTTTTAATTATATAATATTAGATCCGATCGAATATAATTTAACATAAATGAAATATTATACCCTTATTTTTCTTATCCATTAGTCAAAGTGGGTGGGGGTGATGGTGGTGGTTGGATGGTTGAAGCATGTAAGGTGGGGTAGCGCAACCGCCCACGGTTGGCTGTTGTTTTTGGTGGCTGGGTAAGTAACTCATTCATCTTCCATTTATTTTCTTCAATTTTATTATTCACTCAAAGAAATGTGCCTAAATTTTCATGTTTAACCTAGGAATTAAAAAAAGCCATTATACCCGCCCCTCCTCGCCTCGCCTCGCCTCAAATCGAACCCCCTATCTTCCTGCCTTAACCAGATATGAGGGTGGGGCAAAGAAACAAATATATCCGCTGGGACGAGAGATGAGAATGTTGCCTCGACCCCAACCCCGACCTCAACCCATTACTATCCCTATTTTAACACGAAGTTTTGCTGCAATACAAGTCTCAAATAAATATACAAAACAAAATAAATATACTAAACACTACAAGTGTATATATTTTGTTCTGCTTAATTCTTTTTTGAATTTTGTTACATGTTCATCAAGGTTTACACTTTGGTGTACATAATGCCCATGATAATGTCACTTGAGCATTATTTATACCGGGATGTAAAATCTTATGTACATGTGGAATAATTGTTCTTCCTTTTTTTTCCTCTCAAAACCGTCCTATTTCTTAATATTAACAAGCGTACTAAACACTACACGTATACATATGGCTATTATTTGCTACAATTGCTTGTGCTTCAGCCATAGATATTGGACTAAGGCCATTTCAACGCTGCATCAAAATTTGAGATAAGTTTTGCACCATTATATATTAAAACTTGCACCAACTAAAAATCATCGTCAACCCATTACACCAAAACTTACACTAAATGAATAGATTTTAATCATTTTCTTCATTTTTTTGATTATTAAAAATTTATTTATCTGAAAATTTATTTATTTATTATTTTTACAACTATGTAAATTACTAAATAAATAATTACATTAAATTAACGAAAATATTGAATTATTATTGATTACTAAATTATTTGCTTGTTTTATGTATTATGTTAAATTGACGAAAATAATTGATTATATTTTTAAAATTTATTATAAATAATACGTTAAATTAACGAAAATAATTACTAACTTTTTATTCCTTAATTATTATTGATTATATTATTAAAATTTATTATAAATGCACTTATAATTGTTGTTGTTGTTGTTGTTTATAATAATAATAATAATTTATTGTATTAAAAAATATATAAAAAAATGACGTAAATACTCTTAATCAATATGTTTTGGAAAATGAAAGAGAAGGACAAAGTTGACTTTGCACTATTTGGAGCAACACTATTCACTTTGTGCAAAGCATAGTGTGCTACATTGGAGGTTTTGGTGCAAAATGGTGTTTTTGGGATCTCCATTGGAGATGGCCTAAGGTTTTGATTTTCAAGATTTGACAATTCAAGAAAGTCTGAACAATTTCTCAGTTCATCCTAATCTAAATAGTTTCCAAGGATGAGAAAACTTTGAATCAATAGGAGTCTGTTTGTGTGTATGAAATTTATGAGTGTATTAAAGATGAGTATTGATGTATTTGTTTGAATTGAATGAGGGAATTCTTAATTTTTTTGGTAATTAACATGAGGTTATGGGTTTAGGAGACTAAGAAATTTAGAATCCATTTGATTAAGTGGAATATATACTGAGGTAATTCTGTTGGCGGTGCGATATTGACGACGATGGTCGGACAGTGCAGTTCTGGCAGTGGTGGTTGGATGTTAGTGGTAAGAATTTATTGAGTTCTTGTTTTTTATTTTGGGGATGGAGTGGTTTGGAGAAGATGATGTTCATTATTATTATTATTCTTTTTGCTTTTATTTCATTATTTAATTATATAAAATGTAAATTTATCATTTTATCCCTTATTTAATTTGTCACTTTGATCAAAATTTCAATTTCAATGTTGACTAATGGAATTCTGGATAGATTCTATCCAATGAACTCCGACAATCGTTAAAATGAAAGGATTGGGAATGCAGCCAAAAAATAAAAGGTTAAGGTGTATTTTACAGCAAATTGAAAAGTTTGGGACCTTTGTTACAATTTTTCTTTAATTATATGAAGCAAAAATATGTGCATATAAAGACAATAAAATTGTGACATACTTGCAAAATACAGAATATAATTTTGACATATCGAAACCAAGATACACGTACGAAATCTCGATTTAATGAATTGTAGAAATTAGAATGAGATGAAATGAAGCGACATACGCGAATGCAAATTTCCTCAAGACAAATTATGCCTCATGCACGGGTGCTAACATAATCAAATGGATATCTACTTTCTAAGATACAATGCTTCTTCTAAAGTTAATATAGAACAATATTAAGTTTGCAAGACAAATTAGCGTTTGACTGTACTTTTCTAGAATGAAAAATATCGAACACGAAATCCAAAAATATTTTGAAAATTATTTTGGCATAATTTTACCTGGCACAGCAGCTCGGTTCTTTGGAAAATGAAAGAGAAGGACAAAGTTGACTTTGCACTATTTGG